CCCCAAAACCCCAAAACCCCAAAACCCCATTCAGCTGTGAAAATATTGAAAAGTAAGAAATATAATAAAATTCAAATTTTAAATAATGGAAAAAGAACAATCTTCTAGTGAAACCTCAAGCGCCTCAAATCAGTCATCCAAAAGTGAAATAGCCACTAAACTATACTCTAAATTTAGTGACTTTATTTTCAAAACAAGGATCTCCAAGGATGACTTTCTGAAGGACAATCCTATGTATCTAACTAAATAAAGAACTCAAGGAAAGATTTGAAGGAATAAAATACGAAATCACTGATGAAGAACTTACAGCTGTGATGGTCCATCACAATGCTGATAAATCAGACTACATCCTTATTGAAGACTTCTTGGATAAGCTCACTTGCTGGCGCACCTCTAAGGAATTCAACAAAGCCTTGGATAAACATATTGATATTAACATCAACAACTTGAGAGATCAGTCAGTTCCTTTCTCTGCTAAAAGGAGCGATCTTGAGTCTTCAAAGGAATCGGAAATCCCTAAGAAAACCTTCCCGAACAAAAGTAAAAAGTACTTGAAAATAGCTAAGAAGAGGCAGGAAGAGGAAGAAAATTCCTTAAAAATGAACGTTGATAAGTGCAAGAAGGAACTAGAGTTTGACTGCCTGCATAAAATGAGCGAGGCCTGAGAAATAGCTAAGTTACTGAACATCCCGATAACGTTCTCTGCAAGTAAGGGGTCTGATGGAAGTATTTTGATACACATGATAGAGATTAGCACCCAAAAGAGAAAAGAAAAAGGTAAGTGATAACTTTGAAATTGCTAATATGTACTCTCTGAGAGGACTATGTCGTTAGGCCAAGATCATAGATCAACTGTTATGTATAGGCGAGGATGGGGAAATTGATGAAGATGAGGGTGAAGGAGATAGCTCCGTAATTAAATAAGGAAAAAGGTCATCCAATCTCTATGGAAGAATTCCTTAGAAGATACAGAAAGCTTAAAAGATTGCAAAGTAGCATTAAAAATAATTCAATGATCCGAAATACTCAAGAGACAAAGGTTACTCAAAATGCTATAGTCTCTAGTTACAGCTCTAACAGGGATAACAAAACTCAAAGACAGGAGGAGTTAAAAGATGTGCTAAAAGAGACAATGAGCTTGACCACAAAGCTTAAGGATCAGCTGAAAATTCTAGAAAAGAATGGAGTTTGTGGCACCAAGCCAATGAACTTCTTTTAATATATTGAAAATTCAATATTTACAAAATAGTCAGGGGTTTTGGGGTTTTGGGGTTTTGGGGTTTTGGGGTTTTGGGGTTTTGGGGTTTTGGGG